GAGGAGGGAGTAAGGGCTCTGAAGACCTGGCTCGCCTCTGGGCTCTGCCCTCTCTGCTCCATGACTTCAGGGCATCTTCCCCCCCAACCCCCTCCGCACCATTACAATGATGAGCAGGTCCCCGAAACCCCCCGCATAGTGGGGACCCAGTAACTGGTGGGTGTTATAGTTGTTACTCCTGCTTGATTCTCTCATCTTTTAAGAAACGGAATTCGCAGCAGATGGCCACAGACTGCCTTTTCCCTGAAAACCACAAGCAGGTGAATCACCATCAGCCGGGGAAGGCTCTGCCAACGTGGGATTAATGAAATTAACCACAGCTGCATTCCACTGACATCTGAGCGAACTCTGGGAAAGGAGGTGACAGTTTCTCATTCTAAGGACCTCCTGGTTGGCTGGCAGAACCGGCCCTCTCTCTGCCCTCCGAGCTGGCCCTGCTTCGGACTGCTCTTTGCATCTTGAAATTACGTCCCACAGCTTCCTCTCTCACTCAACTCTGTCACTTCCCCAACCACGGTTGGAGCCACTTAATATGTGCATGAGTTCAGGGGACCTGGGCAGTGCTCCAAGCTGAGCCCCAGACACCACACCTAACCTTAATCCCGCCGTGCCTCCCCTCCCCCCATCTCCGCTGTGTAAAGGAACATGCTTGTACTGTGTGGACTTTTGGAGACCATATGGAGATTAAAATTCGTGTTTGAGTGATCTTAAATACATAAACTTAGGAGCATTTAGACTCACTAGATGAAACAGGTGTTTAGGTGTAATTTAGGCGGTGGCTAGCGGTTGAGGAACAGGTAGTAATTCATTCCTCATCAGGAAGAACGAAGGGAAAAGAGGTTATGTCAAAACCCTCAGCTCTCCTCCCCTCACCCTTCCCCGTGCCACCCTCAGCAGTCCAAAGCAAGCACATACCACACAGGAATTACTCGCAGACCCCCCACACCATGAGATAACTCAGGCGGGGGGAGGGGGGCTGCTGGATGTAGCAGTTTAAAGCGAATCTCTTACAAGGGCGCTTGGGTGGCTGAGTTGGTTAAGCCTGTGACTTGGGCTCAGGTCATGATCTGGAGGTTTGTGAGTTCCAGCCCCACATCTGGCTTACTGCTGTCAGGGCAGACCCGTTTCAGATCCTCTGTCCCCCTCTCTCTCCCCGCCCCTCCCCTGCCTGTGCTCGCCTGGGTGGCTTAGTCGGTTAAGCGTCCGACTTTCGCTTGGGTCATGATCTCGCCGTTCGTGGGTTCGAGCCCCGCATCGGGCTCTGTGCTGACTGCCAGCTCAGAGCCTGGAGCCTATTTCGGAGTCTGTGTCTCCCTCTCTCTCTGACCCTCCCCTGCTCACGCTGTCTCTCTCTCTCTCCTAGAAATAAATAAAAATATTTTTAAAAAAAGTAAAATAAACATTAAATAAACAAAAAAGTGGACCTCTTATAAAGAAACAGTCCAGTGATTTACTGTGTCCGAAGCTTTACCTGCTGCAGGCCTACACACAAGTGGGCACAAAAAAAAGACAATTTTACTAGAAACTCAAAGAACAAAATAAAAATTAAGACTCAAAGGCTTGAATAATGGGTTGAACACAATGAAAAAAGCAAGATTCTGGCTGCCAAACCCTCCCACCTGGCTTGCATAGTAAGCATCTGGGCCTCATGTCAATAGCAGCTTTGTAGCCCAGATGGCCAGCACTGCCATCCCAGGGGCTCCCTGCTCCAGAGAGAGACTGAGTGTGTGAGACAGTGAGTAAGTGAAGAGAGAGAGACAGACAGAGACAGCCGCTACTTCACTTGAACCTGAGGTCTTGGTCCTCACATCGTTTGTAGATCTGACCACCATAGTTTTCAAAATGAAAATCACATTCATTACGTCTCTGCCCTCTCGTCTGATTCTTCCCACAGACGCCCAACCCAAAACTTGTATTCAGAAGTATAAAAGAACTACTCTCTCATTGCCATATACCCGCCTGTGAATCCCCGAGGGTATTCCCACTGGATGCGTGTGCCCACGCGCACACCCACCCACACCCTAACCAGGACCCACTCCTCCCTCACACCCTCTTACATCCGCTCTCAGCACACAGGCCACTCACACCCCACGGATGCATCACAGCTGTGGATTCTCTCCTCCCACATCTTTTCTCTCGCTCGCTTGTGTGCACACGTGCCAACAGTGACTTCCACTGGGTGGGAAGCTGAATGAAATGGCCAAGGGCTGGGCAGTAAATGACGGGGTGGGTCAGGGTAGAAGAGAGGGACTCCTAGGGTACGAAACAGGACACAGGGGGCAGAAACATGGGGGAGTGGGTAGGCAGGCAGGCAAGAGAAAAAACTCCAATCTTTCCCGCGTGAGAATTTCTGTGATATGTTCTGATTTTTGTAAAGAAGCCAGTAACTGCTTGACTATTTTTGGTATCAAAGACTAAGAAAGGGCAAAAGTCTTGGTGGACCAAGGTTACTAGCACTGTAGTAACCCAGCTGAATGACATGGACCAAGATTAAAGAGTAACACATAGCAGATCAGCCTCAGTAGCAGAGTGAGGACACTGAACCAGGTGACATGGTCTGGTTCCGTGATGTCTCCAGCTCCCTGGGGAACTGAGGACTGGCATCTCACCTCTCCAGACAATGACTTCCTCAACCACCAGATAAGGGACACAGCAGGGGCTCTCTAAGCCCTAGGGCTAACCTTTGAGGATCCAGGAACCTCAGCATTCATTCATTCCAACTTCTACCTGAGGAGCTGCACCATATTACTTTCACTTTATAGAGGTACTATCAGAGTATCTTTATAAAATGCAAAGTGCCACGTTGGACTGGGATGGATGACAAAGGAGAGGTAAGTTTACGGGCAGGGAACAGCAGCTTTCAAAAAAAAAAAAAAAAAAGCAACCAAAGCTAAACACACATAACACACATTCTCTCTCTTTTGCTCTGTCCTCTCACCCACTCCTTTCCTTCCTCTCCATTCTCTGGACACAGTAAGGATGAAAGGTTGGGGGGCAGAGGTTCACACACTGTGGTATAGACAACGGGACTTAGAGTCAAGTATTGGCTAGTTAATATTTCTAAATTACTCAATCATCCTTGGTCTGCTTGCTCATGGGGTATACCCATGCTAAACGGGGTATAAACGATGCTCAAATTAGCATGAGGATTACAAGGACATGAAACACCATGATAGTAAAATGCCTGGATAAAGTGTCCCAGTACCAGCTACAATCCCTTCCGTCCACACTAACCTTAATTTGAAAACGTTACACATATACACCCTTGTGTGAATGAATATTTCATATACGTATACCCATCCAAATGAAGTCACAGCTGAGACTGACAAGGCAGGGGGAGGGTCCCAGCTCTGCAGTGCTTTTTAATTTTATCAACTGCATCTGTGGTTAGTGTGGGATTTTTCTTTTTCTCTTTCCCCTCCCTAGGCTCTACTACCACTGCTGGCTCTCACCCTTTCAGTGCTCTCTTGCTGTTTCTTCTAGTCAGCCTTCGTCATTTCCCAGTCTCACGCCTGCATCTATGTACCTATCGGTGATGGGACAGGTGATAAGGAGTATTAGTAGTTACAAAGTATCTGTTTTTATTTACCAATAAGGATGACCTTGGTCAAAACAGCAGTTTCTGAAATTACTGGTATCTAGTTGTCCATCCATACGAGTCAACCAGCAAGTGTTAAAAAAAAAAAAAAAGAAAAAGAAAAATACCAGTATGCATGTAGAAGGGGTTAGTACTATCTCCTGAAACTCATTTCAGTCCCATATGTACGTAAGTGAGTGTAGTGACCGCGGTGTAAAATTAACTTCCAACAGTGGGTCACACACAATCAAAAAAAGTTTGAAAGCCCCTGGGATAAGGTCCACGGAATAGACAGGAGTCTGAAAGGCCTAATCCCCTCCACCAACTATTTTCTTATTCTGTGCTTTTTCTGTCTGCGACTTGCTGGTTTCTCATCCCCGAGCCTAGTTAGGTTACCCGGCATGGACACTGTATCTTTCTGAAGGTCCCAAGCCTTTCTCCTCCGGCCCCAAGGCCACCCATCAGGTTCTTGTGAAGGAGTTCTACAGCTCATCCGTGCAGGATCACCGAAGAAGGTATTTCTATTCACTACCAGGCACTCTACATTCCAGGACTCCCCTTGCGGAGTTAGGGTCAGAAATACCTGGGTTTCCTAAGACCCCAGAACCAGGAACACAGCACTCCTCCCTTCAATGCTTAGAGCTGATGAGCTCCGGCTGGAGGCCCTGCAGCGACCACCTGAGGCTTTCCAAGACAGCGAATTTACTCACTTTTGAACGCCCACTGTAGTCTTTCAACCGCTCACTTGGACACTTCCTTCCTGGTTAATTAAGCTCGAGATTATTTTAGATAACCCTTTAATTCTCCAAACAAACCATAAAGTCTACCTGAAGAGGCTTCTCCTTTAATCCGTCTCCAGCTTAATCCCTCAGTCCTATCTATCCCTTAATGCTCCCGGCACGAATTCCTCAAAATGCTGCTGCCAGAGCAAGTGAACTTGGCCGCTTGGAAAGTTACCGCGCCGGGAGTGACTGGGAGCGAGGGCGGGGAAGTAGAAAACCTGGAAGATCTGTACAATCTGTTTCAGGAGCTCACCTGGGGGGGCGTTTCTCCTCTTGATGGGGGGGGGGGGGGAACCCAACCTTTCAGCCAAGCAAGAAAACAAAAGCCGGCGCGCCGTGGCCGCAAGCAGGATCCTGCCGCGCTGGAGAAGTGCAAGCAGAGCTGCAGGGGACGCGGACCGCGGGTCGGCCGGGAAGTAGAAGGGGGCCGGGGGGTCGGGGTGGGGGGGCCGCGAACAAAGCCCCGCGTCCCGGGCCCAAACCTCGCGGGGGCACTCTGCCCGCTCCGAGGGAGCGGGGCGGGGGTGCAGGTGTGTGGGTGCGGGTGCGCGCGCAGCGAGCCCCTCCCCCGCCGCCCCCAAAGCCCCGGGGCGGGCGACCCCCTCCTCCGCCCCCACCCCCATCCCCGGAGCAGCTCTCACCCGAGCGGGGGTCGAAGGTGACCACGAACACGGCCACCACCTGGTCCTCCTCCACGTCGCCCAGCTCCAGGCGCCCGGGCTGCAGCAGCACCTCGGAGGCGCCCAGCTCCTGGGGCCCCCGCCTCCTGGGCGGCTCCGCGGCGGGCCGGCCGCCCCCGCCGCTGCCCCAGCCCCGGCCCCCAGCCTGCGGCTCCGGGGCCTGCGGCGGGGAGACGGCGGGGCCCTCGGCCCAGCGCAGCAGCGGCGCCGCGTCTCCCCGCTCCACCATGGCGAAGCGAGGAGGAGCCGCGGGCGGCGAGGGGCGGGCGCAGGGGCGGGCTGCGGGAACTCCCCTCGCCGGGCCGGGCCCGGCCGCCGCAGCCGCCCGAGGCCGCACCTGCCCCGCGCCGCCCCGCCCGGAGCCAGCCGGAGAGGCGCCCTCCCCACCGCCTTCGCCCAACTGCGTGCCTGGCTGGGATTCACGGATGCATGCCTGTGCCCGTGCACAGGAAACGTCTGGCGGCATGGACGCGCATCCACCTGGATCCGTCCACCCGTGCTGGGGTGAGCTGCCTTCTCACCCGGGAGCCCGTCGGATAACTGTTACCACCGTGAAGTTTTGTACGCCACCGTTATTTTTCTAATTTCCCCGGTCGTATGGACCGTGACAGAAATGTGTTACATAACCCTGCAAGTGTGGCTAAGGCCAGCGCTGGGCTGGGAAGTGAAGCGGGAGAGGCAGCCTCGGCCGCCCTGGTGTTCTTTGGACTTTGGATGTGGCCTGGCCTCCTGGAGCTGCGGGGTTGGGTGTCCGGCCTGAGGTAGTTGGGTGTGCAGAACCCAGTCTGCTGTGGCCTTGAGTGAGCTGGATAATGCCTGACCCAGGCCTTCATCGTACCCTGCCTGGGGCTCATCCATTTCGGTGACTAAATCTCCACAGAAGGTGGTGGATGGTCATTTACTTGCCCTTGGGCTCGGGAAGGGGAGGTTGAGCTAAATATATAAATGATGAAAGCAGTCCCCCTTCTGTAGGCTAAATGCTGCATAAATAGATTACGGTTATGTCATAGATTTTGGCTTGGAAGCAACAGCCCTGGGCAGTCATTTATTATCTCCTTGGGAAGAGGGGTTAAATCGTATCCTCATTGTATCTCTGACACAGAGGACATGCTTCTTCAACACCCCCTGAGTGACACCCCCCCTCCCCCCGTGCATAAATCCACTGGGTCCTTCTGAGAGCAGGCAAGCTGCTGGGCCTTCCTGAACCTTGAGGGAATCTAGCATCTGAATAAGTCTCTCTCCTTTCCTCATCCTTTCTTATTTTAACGGCTATTCCTATTTCTTATTCCCACCTGCCCTGGTTACTTAGCCACCAGATATAGCCAAGGGTTGAGGCATTCAAAATATTATATCTAAATATAAGAGTGGGGGGGGGTTCATAGAAAATCCTCAATTTCCAAAGCCATCAGCTTTAGTTTGGACTTTTCTCTTTCTCCTATAAGGGACTTCTTTATCCTGATCTTTTGTGTGAGCCCCACCAAGAACCCCCTAGTTTAATACCTTCAGGTTGTGTATGTACCAAGAAATAAACTCATAATCCCCATCTCATATATATTCATATATATACACATATCTTTATATCTATCCTATATATAATTTGCTATATAAACAGAAGACTAAAATGTGCAAACCTTAAACCATGAACCTTTCCCACACCTCATTTATTTATGTGTTCCAGTTCACCAGCCACCATGTCTATCTGCAGGTTCCCAGTGCCTTGCATAACAGGTGCACAACAAGCACTTGTCAACTAGCAGATGAATAAAAGTAGAGACTTAACACCTCGGTACAACAGGCTCCTCCTGCCAGGCTTAACCTAGTATCTTGCACATAACATGTGCTCAAAGATGTTAATGATGGTGATGACAGACCTTTTAACACACATTCACAGTCTGAAAGGGCTCTACATCTGACCATCAGATTTATCTTCTCTGTATCTACTGAATTTCACAAAATGATAGGAAAAGAAACTAATTAAATTTAGCTATTAGAATAGCTCTGGTAGGAAAGGAGCATGAAGGGTAAGAAGAAATGAAGGGCAGTCACATTCAGGGACCCTAGGATAATGTTATATTAAAGAAATTCTTTTACATTTATTTTTGAGAGACAGAGAGAGTGCAAACAGGGGATGGGCAGAGAGAGAATAGATACAGAATCACAAGAGGCTCCAAGCTCTGAGCAAGCTGTCAGCATAGAGCCTGACACGGGGCTCAAACCCAGGAACCGCGAGATCATGACCAAAGTCAGATGCTCAACTGACTGAGCCATCCAGGAGCCCCAGATGATGTTATATTTTAAAATGAGTTCCCCTAGAATGCGATATATCTAAATTTTAAAATAAAATTATTTTACTTCCCCCAATACTAAACATATCTACATTATATATCTAGAAGATATAAAACATGTAATGGATATAAAATAGAGTATATAAAAGTGAATTTGATCTATAGTCTCACCACTGGGTTGGCCACTGTTAAGATGTTGCCTATCTTATTTCGCTAGTTCTGGGGTGCAGCTTCTCACTTGCCAGCATTGCTATGGTGACTGCCAGCCCCACTGAGATCGAGTTCTCACAAGGAGATTTGTGTTTACTTCTGTCAGCCATCTGGAGGCACTGCCAACCGGAGACTACTTTGAGTCCTCTGCCTGAGATCCTTTGGACCGCGCTGGTAGCGTAAATTCAAAATGCCAGCTAGCGCAAACACCGGCTTATAGTGCAAATTCTTGGGTGACATGTTTTTCTTCCCTCCAGCCAATGACCAACAAGCTTCCCTGCCTTGCCCTGTCTATGTGGGAGGTTTCTTTGCCATAGGTGTATGTGGGGTGTGATGCTCAACCCCTCATCTGAGGCATTTTAAAGTTCTTAGTGGCAAGTAAAAATAATGCTGTATCTTAAAATACATGATATAATGAAAAGTTATCTGGGTTTATGTTGCAATCATACCATATATCAGTTTTTCCCCTTAACATCAGACGGTGAATATTTTCCTATCTTATTAGCAATATTTTGCATGCATCATTTTAATGGTTCCCATTGTGTGTATGTTTGAAAACTTACTTAACCATTTTCTCCTTGCTGGGCAATCAAACCCTTCCCCTTTTTGTTGTGCCTGAAGTGTGGGCCAAATTTCACTCTGAACTAGCACTACCGATTATATGCTGAGCTCTGCACACAGTACTGGGGCAGCTATGAAGAAGGCAGATACCCTTTCTCATCAGGCTTATAGCCTGGCAGGGAAGGCAGCTATCAGGCAAGAAATGAAATATAGAAGGAGGGGAGACAGACAGGGTAGGTACACACAGCTTTTCAGGTTGTTGACTTATGTATGACAGATGGCCAGAGGCAGCAATATTGGGTTAAAATGTATTTGTGTTTTTAAGGTTCTTTTTTTTTTTTTTAAATGTTTTATTTATTTCTAGGAGAGATAGAGAGAGACAGCGTGAGCAGGGGAGGGTCAGAGAGAGAGGGAGTCACAGACTGAAACAGGCTCCAGGCTCTGAGCTGGCAGTCAGCACAGAGCCCAACGCGGGGCTCGAACCCACGAACCGCGAGACCATGACCTAAGTCAAAGTCGGACGCTTAACCGACTAAGCCACTCAGGCGTCCCATGTGTTTTTAAGGTTCTTAATAATACTGACAAATTGTTCATTCACGGGTGTATAAGGGTATCCATTTCATTTTGCCGCAATTAGATATCGCTGTTAAAAGTACTTTTTGCCGATTTGTCAGATGAATGTGGCACTTTAAAAAATTTATTTATTTTCAGAGGGTTGGGGGCGAAGAGAGAGGGAGAGAGAGAATCCCAAGCAGGCTCCATACTGTCAGTGCAGAGCCCAACGTGGGGTTCCAGCTCACAGGCCATGAGATCATGGCCTGAGCCACCCAGGTGCCCCTTGGCATTTTGTTTTTAAGTTAACATTTTGTGACTGAATCTAATCATGTTCTCAAAATATATGTTGGTGATTTGTGGTTCCTTTTAGGTGTATTTTCTGTTCATGATGCCTTTTCCTCACTTCTCGGGTTTTTGTGCTCTTGTTATCAATTTACACGAGTTTTTTAATACAGTAATAGTATTAATCTTTTGTCTGGCATAATTTTTATTAATATTATTTACAATTTATTATATGACTTCAGTGCCTTTTACAATTTATTATATGACTTCAGTGCCGCTTAATTGCTTTATGAAATTTAGAAGTTCTAAATCTTACGTTGTCAAATTTATCAGTTCTTTTTGTGATTTCTTATGTTGCTTGGACATTTAGAAAGTTGGTCCCTACCCAGAAATTTTATCAATATTCACTTTCATTCTTTTAGTTATTTATATGTTGGTTTTCCACTTTTGATTCCTTAATCTAATCCATGTTTATATTGATATGTGATATGAAGTGAGAGTCTAAAATTTTTCTTGAACAGTTAATCAATAATTGCTATACCACTTATTAAAACATTCTTTCAATTCCTCTGATTTATAATTCCCCTTGAAATTCCAATATTAAACTCCTGATATTCACTAATTTATGTATTCTTCACCATTGATGTGACTATTCTTACAAGTTTCATAAGTTTTAAGTTTTTTGGAGACTTAGTGTTCTCTACCCTTAAGAAAGTCTTCAGCTGTTTCTTTGACAATTATTGTCCCACATGAGAATTATTTAAAAATAATTTTATCCAGTTTAAAAAAAACCCTGTGAGCTTTTTCATCCAAACTGCCCGAGAATTACATATTTACTGGAGAGGAACCAATATCTGTATATAACTAAGCCACTCCATTCTCTCTTCGAGGAATCGTCTTCCATCCAGGTAAGGAACAGTTTATACTACCTCCATGATCAAACTGCATAGTTAATTGACCAGAGCGAATACTAGTGGTCCAGACAAGAGTCCACTGTGGGACAAGCTGAGGTGTAAGAGGGTGAAATTAAGAATGTGAATAAAGGGCTTGAAGAAACAATCTTCCTAATGGTCTAAGGACTATCTGTACCCTTATCTGTCCTGTGAACTTAAGTCCCACCCATCCTGAGGACCCAGAGCTCAGGGCATCCAGAGACGTCCTGGGGAACCTGATGTGGTCCAGACTCCTGCCTTCCTAACGTCTACTGTCTTCATTAGACCACGTTAGCTGCACATCAGCCCTGCCTGCGCTGTTTCCTTCCAGATCACCTGTGCTGCAGGCACGCGCTGGTTTGACCCAAGCTGAAAGCACAATAAATCATGTACCACATCGGCTA